TAGTTGTAACAGCTTTTACAGTAATATATTGAGTGTGGTAGCAGGTTTAATGGTTTAATAATTTTATTTGCTGTATACTTGGCCCACTAGTATGTAGGACTGGTTTAGAGTCATAGTGAATAATCTTGAACCTGCTCATCTAGGACAAGATGACACACACACACACACACACACACACACACACACACACAGTCGTGTCTCCATGACTTCAGAGTACATTCAATTGACTTACATTGATTTCCTGGACACTTACTTAAACAGTTACTACTTTCCTAATCCTGACCCTTAACCTAACTTGAACCTTAAAACATCTTTTAAGTTGACCCTAAACCTGGGCCCCACACACACACACACGCGCGCACACACACACACAAACACACACACACACACACACACACGCACACACACGCACACACACATGAATTAATCCTGGTAATTCTGATGCCACAGATATACTCCTTGGTCATCAGTTATCTGTTATCCACTGAGCCTGCGGTTGCAGGACAAGACGCTCCACATCAGAGGATGACTCCACAGCAGAGACAGTCATGAGGCTCCATCTGAAGAATGGGTTTATTTTAGCTCAGTGTTTGAGAGTACGTGATTTGGGATTCAGAGGTAACACGAGGACAGAGGCGGAGTGCTGACCTGCGCTGCCCCTGAAAAAGAACAAACACTCCAACTGAACTAAACAAATCCCCTCTCCTCTTCCACTTTCTGGTTCTTCCTCTTTTCGGTTACATCATGCCATACTTCTAAAGAGGATATTATGCAGGCATTATGCATTCAGGGCATGACTCAAGCATTAACAGGCTGCAGAAGACACCCTGCAGCATGGGCACAACTTAAAATATTTACCTGGGAAAATATTGTGTTGTGACCAGATGGCAGCAGCACTTTAACAAGTCAAAGGTTAAACATGTCATTATAATAATGTTTGTGGCCAGGCTGAGGCTTAAAGTCTGAAGGGGATGTGCTATGAACAATTGCAGTTATGTAATATGTGTTGTTGTGTTTTTGGCTCTTTTAGCAAATGACAGTTCATCTGTGGATTTGAAAGTTTCATTTTCTTTAAGTCCCATTGGCATAATGTAAAATTATTATTGGAAAACACTCATTAAACCACTTAATTTGTTTTATTAGAGAGAATACTTCCCTCTTCCTGCCACCAGCACATCTATATTTCATCAGCATATGAAACACAGAGGAAAGCTTGAATGCTGAGGATCTGAGGAAAAGGTTTACTGAGGACGAATGTGTAATTAAATTCCCCCTCTCTTTCTTGTTTTCCTCTGTGGAGAAATGCGGCTTAATCAGTCTGTGTGTGTGCGTGTGTTTCACCCCATGGAGAGGGCATTTCAGGACACATGTTTGCGAGAAGCTGAAAGTTTTAGGAGATTAAACAGTTGTAATATCTTCTCCTAATGAAAACAATAATAATAACACAATAAAAATGACAAAGTCCATCCATGTCAAGCATTGAGAATTTTATTTAATTCTGGAGAGAAGTGAAAATGTGATTTGAGATTTTTTTTTCAAACGTAACTCGTGCTGTTAAATTATGTAATTTTCTAATTTACTGGTTGCCGCATGAATTATGCGTTTCTTGTGTTTACTTTTCTTTGAACCCTGTGTGGTCTGAACCAAATTTAATCTGTGCTCGTCGAAGAGAAAACATTTCAATTTTGTATCAATGCATTTATCAATTTATCCCACAAAAGTCCGTATTGTCTGTCTGTATGTGGAATGCATGTCTCGAGAACTGTTCATCTTGTCGTCCTTGATGGCTAGAGGCAGTTCAGTGTCAAATTTGGTGCGATTGGGACACGAGATAGTAATATTATTAAAAACTGAAATAAACAGATGAACAGTGCTCTGTAACTGTCAGTGGGGGTGGGGCAGTGTGATGTCAGTTGAACATGTCTTCTTCTATGTTCCCTGATAAACTACAGCACGGCCGACAACTGGTTTAAAAAAGTGGGGCAACATCACCACCGGATCATTTTTAATGAGTCCTTTTTTATTTTACCATGACAGGGACATTCACAAGTGTCATGGATGCTGATCCATGTTATGGCAACAGCATTCAATCCCCTTCTCATTGATAATTTGTCATTAGTAAAGTAAAAGAACAAAATTCATTTTGTCACAGCAATGCTTTATATTGAGCTGAATTACAGAGCTTTTATTTTGAAAAGTAGTGATCTGAAGATTGTGTCGATTTCTTTACAGCCCTGTAAAATAGCCGAGATGCACTGTAGAAAAGAATAACACCATTCAAGTAAATCATTCAAACTCATTTATAAACCATGTGCGTACCGCAGACAAACCAGGTAGGATGAACACATTGTTTTCTTTCTCCCCTCTGCACCATAGACCTTTTTATAAAAAAGCTCTGCACACAACGTTCAGCACACACACAACAAAAAGTGTCAGTATATTGTACAACTGTTTGAGGAGGACTTACTAATGACGTAGCTCCAGAGCTTTAACACAGGACAAGAGAACAGGAAGGTTTAGAACAGGCACTGCACTAGTACTAAAAAAGTGGGACATATGGCTCTGTATTTAAACAATAACTATAACTATAATTTTAATACAACCAAACATCCTGTGAGTGACAACATTGGGGCGACTTCAGCAGAACAACAGAACAACAGCACAGAAGCTCTTACGCGAAGATGACACCTCAGTTCAGCAGACAAACATCACAGCGAAACACAGTCTCAGACAACAGCGCGTGTAGAGAATACTGTAGCATTAATATTTCAGCAGCTCTGCCTCTCAAGTGAGTGTCTATAAATGGATTTTCTCTGCATTATTAAGCCCTTCTACTTTAGAACAGCACGGATACCAGACGCAGACATCTATCTTCATTTGAATTTTGTGGCAGTTACACATTCACGTATATGGAGCCAAACTGGCAACCCTCCATGTGTGAGTAGAGATAAGGATTTCTAAATGCAGATAAACTTGCCCAGCACT